CTGCGCCCCCTCCGTGGCTTGTTTGCCTCGTCCGAGTTACCTTCCTTGTTTACATGCATGGCATCGCAATGGTTAGCCCTTGTTGTCGACTCATTGCCGTCTTCGCCCTCCAACGGTGTTCCCTCGGCACAATGACTCGGACATGGAGTCGCCGCTCGCAATACCGAGATGGCGGCGTATTACCGAGGCCCTTGGTATCCACCACCTCGACACGGCGTCGAGATGGTGGTCGGCGGCCGATTTCGGAAGCCCAGACGACGGAAATTGCATAAGTTATCACGGGCTCGCGTCTTGGGTGCCGTGAAGCACCCTGGGTATCGGCGCCGTGCAGAAGATGCCGTTCGGTTCGGCCGAGGAGGGCCTTCGCCGCCAATGTGCCATTGCGTCGCGCCAGATCTGGTCCGGCACTCACTCTACTGGATTCATGCCTGATGCCCGAATCCGACCGATCCACTCTGGGATAGAGTTATCGCCACCTTTTCCCACTCTGGTCAGTGAGATGTACCGGCATGAGGCGCATGAGGTTCGCGCATGGGACCACTTGTCGTTTATTGCAAATCTATCGCTAGCATTATGTCTCGTGGTTTGCTTACGCCAAGGGTGATGGAGGCACGGCAGGGTCTGTTGAAAGAAGGTCAAATATCGTGGAAGCCCCGAGACTCATGCGGTTGAGAGGCACGCCCAAGCGAATATAGAAGATGACGCAGGACGAAGCGTGTCGAGTCGGCAACTCTTCCTATAGTCGGTGCCAGGTGGTCTCCGCTTGACGGGATGAGCTACGCTGTAATTTGCGAGGGCCGTCGTATACCATGAGCAACAGTCTTGCCCTTTAACGGCGAGTACCCTCGAGTCCACAACTGACATCACTCATAATTTCCATGTTTTGGGTCTGGAACATCTCGAGCGTAGGGACCAATCAATCCACACAGATGTCCGTTGTAAGTACAGTGAGGGGCAAAAAGTCTCGGTCCAACCCCTTATTTCCCTCCAGCCCACACATCTACCCCATCACTTTTACTACGAATAGAACCACAAAATGAATAATATATATGGCAAGACTATAGTCAATTAAAAGCCAATTGTTTGCCTATCAGTATCGTGTATACCATTCCCGGGCCCGCCGTACAGCTCGTAAGCGCCGCGGGATTGACTTTACAAGACGGTTGATAGTGCAAATGCGGGGTGGGCCCAGACTTTCTACATGTGACTGTAACCACCCAATACCACCAGTCTGTCAGTGTCTGGGCCGCAACCCTGTTTTGCTATTATTGCAGCCGTCACTCAGCATCAATGTCGCTGGATGACTGGAAAGCTTATTTCCATCTGGGAAAGATAACCTTGTGAATGTGGAGACATTGTAATTGTCGATTTAACAATTGTGCCAGCCAGCGCGTGAGCTCGACGTGGCTGTCTCACTAACATCGCCGATGACAGGCCAAACGGGGACCGTAACGCCACCGTACGTTAGAAAACCAAGGGACGCTTCAATTGACTCTTGACGTCATGTTCCAAAAAAAAAATCAAAAAAAAAAAATTTCTCGCCAGGCCTTAGTGCCTTGTGAAGCAGTCGATGATGCCACAAGTGCACGTGTAGTTCAGGGAGCATTAGTGAGGGCCCTGCGCGGCTCAGCTGAGAAGTTCGATGAATGCCTGTCTCAGTGGGAAAGCAGCTGGACTGTTCAGCTTCCGACAGGAGGGGAAAAAAACCGCTTGGATGCGTCTCCCCTTTCGTGCCTCTCGTTCCTTTAACAGTCGAGATCGTCACAGGGGGCGTGGTTCCCAGCTAGTTCCACATTTGAGGGGAGCGCAACCAGGTCTCTGTGCATGAGCCCGGCGCTAGTACCGCAATCTGGCTGCTGGCGCTGGTGGAGAACGTCATTCGTCTCTTTTTGGCGAGAAGCTTGGGCGGGTGTTGAGATTACCAGTTGTGCGGGGGTACGTAGGTTCGGGAGAGCGCATCCAGTGTCGTGTGTTGGACCCGCGATATAACATCCTTCCTGCCCTTTCCTGTCGGATTCCCTCCAGTTCATCCCGAAGCAACGGCTGAACACACCCCAAACGCGGTCTACGACCACACACTATTCGTCTCGCACTTTGAATACGCAAAACCCAAACCCCGTCTCTTCTTTCCCAAAGTCAATTCAGCGCATCACGACCATGGCTGACACCAAGACGCTGCCCCAGAGGTCGGGCACCATCATGACCAACACGTCCAGCGATGAAGCCGTTCCCGAGGTTGACCCCACTAGCGTAAGTACAGCTGTCCTGCATTTCCCAACAAGCGAAGGTCATTACTTGTTTGGATTGGTCTCTTGGATTCCGCAAAATCGTGAGCACCGTTTACGGACTTCGGCTAACAGAACTTGCGTAGACCGCCGGACTCCTTGCAGAACGACTTCAAGCCTGGAAACATGCTGTCGGATACCTGGAGGACTACATGGAGGTCGTTGAGAAGATTCACAAGGCTCATGCCAAGGAGTATGAGAAGGCTCTCAAGGCCATCTCCAACCCCTTGAAGGAAGGTCACCACTTTGACCAGAGCCTCGGCGGTGTCGCCGGCTACTTCGAGAACATGCGTTCCAACACTCAGGCGATTATTAACACCAATCTTGAGACGGAAAAGAGCATCAAGGGATCCGTTCTCCCCGTTCTTGAACGCCTGCACAAGGAGATCAAACACAAAGGCAAGGAGCTGGCACACGGTGCCAGCAAGGGCGCCAAGGAGGTTGAGAAGGCCCGCAATACCACCCAGAAGCACATTGAGCTCCTCGGCCAACAAACCGCCGCCTTCGAGTCGGCTGGCGGTAAGATGCACGGAACCGACGACCCCTACGTCGTCCACCGGGGTGTCTTGCACAGGCTTCACAAGCAGGTCCTTGAGGAGAACAACAACCGCAACGATCTCATCGCTATTCAGAACAACTTTGAAGCCTTCGAGGCTCACGTTATCGGTGTCATTCAGCAAGCGACGGAGGCATTTATCCAGCTGACCGGCGGTCAGGCTGAGAAAACTCGCGCCCTCTACTCGGACATGCTCGGCGCGATCCAAAGAGTCCCAGCCGACTTTGAGTGGAAGGGCTTCGTCGGCCGCAGTGGCGATCGCCTGGTCAATGCCAACGACCCTCCCCGCTCAGTTGAGTCCGTCAGCTTTCCCAACATGGACCACTCCGCTGTCAAGCCTCTCATCGAGGGCTCTTTGGAGCGCAAGTCGCGCAACAAGCTCTCCTGGGGCTACTCCACCGGCTACTATGTTGTTACTCCTGCCAAGTTCTTGCACGAGTTCAAGGACTCTGATGATGCCCGAGCTGATCCCAAGCCGGAGCTTTCCATCTATTTGCCCGAGGCCGTCATTGGAACACCCAACGGAAACAAATTTAACGTCAAGGGCAAGGACAAGAGCAAGTCCATCAGCTCCAAGCTCACCGGGTCCTCGGAGTTGGCCTTTCAGGCGCACACTCCTGACGACGCACAAAAGTGGTTTGAGATTATTAAAAACGTGGCGGGAGCGACTGGACCTGCTGAGCCCAACTCGGCGCCTACTTCAACTCCCGTCTCTCCTGTTGTCGGATCAGACGAGAAGATGCCTTCGATTGCGCCCGCCGCGACCACCCAATCTGGCCACTCAGTTCAAGAGGCCGGCGTCACTGGCGCTGACCCTACAGCAAGCCCGGAGCTGCTGAGCCCGGTGGATGAGCCTTCTTCCAGTGCTGCGGCTGCTCCTCCTGCGGCTGCTCCTGCGGCTGTGCCTGCTGCGACGGCACCGATTGGCGAGAAGAAAATCTAGAACACCCCCAACTTCTGGGATCTCTACACTTGCAGGTACAGTCCACCACAACGTCGAGAGCCCGGTCAACCGCCCTGCTTTTCTCAAAGTGAGGCGGATGCCATGGCGCCGATACGAGTTATATGCCCTTCTGGTTGCCTTAATGTTCGGTCCGCAAGGCGGACAAGCGTGGATGAGTTCGATGACACGACACACCATTCCTAATTGGCTACGTCGGTTCCCAGCAACACCCAGAGCCTTACGTCCATTTCCTTCTCCGGCCACGTTCGGCGCGCGCGTTTGGAGGATACCATTCTAGTTTCATGGTTATGATATATATGAGCCTTAATCAAACACCTTTCTTAATATTTTGTATTTTCCGGAGACGTTTATTGTCAGACTCATCGCTGTTCCGTTGCTCACAAATGACACTAACGACAGTGACTCGCTTATGGAGGGGTTGTAGCTGCCTCGGCAAGGGCTGCGCCTCACCACTGCCCTCCTCCCGTTCGAGACACGGCGCTGAGACTCGCACAAATCTTGAGTTTAGGCAAGTCGTCGGCATCGATTGTCTTACACTTCTGAGCAAGGAAGGCATCCGCTCAAAACAGTGAAGGTTGCACACCTCGCTGAAGTTCGGTGAGGGTTGGCGGCAGGGTGGTGTGGTACACAAGGCGCCCTCCAGATGCTCCTAGGCCTCTCTCACTCACCACTGCATCCCTTGGATCTTTCTTGAGTCCCCATTCGGAAAGGCAGACTTTGCCTGTTCGCCATGATCTCCGCACTGTATGTGCCATCGGGCATAGAGTGTGTTATTGGCTTGTTGTCAGTAGAGACCAGTTGAAGATGAAGTTGCATCTTTGACGCACTCGAGTAGCTCGGTAATCTCGAGGATGCGGAAGGCAATGATGATTCTTCAAGGCAGAGAGATGCTGAGACACGCAGAATAGTACCCTTTCGTCAGCCCTGTAAAACCCAGGGAAGCCCCCATCCCCCAAATCGTCATAGACCATAGCAGTGCATACGGACAAGTGTCCAGCCTGGCCGTCCGCGACATATATACGGAGTTCGCAAGCAGTTGCCCGTTTCACTGTGAATAAACTTGCTTGAACCCAGTCGAACTCTGTGGATCGTCAACAATGTAGCCAGCCTTGGCCTATCATCGCGGTTCCCCCAGCCTCATCTTCCTTCTAATGATTCAGATTCCTCCCGGCCGTGCCCGTCTGCAACCTGAACAATGACGAAAGCGTGGGGAGAGAAGCGGGCCGATATCACGAGGCTCTACATCGACGAGAACAAGACCCTGAACGAGGTCAAGGCGATCATGGAAGAGCACCACGATTTCAAGGCCTCGTCAGTCATTCCACGTGCTCCTTTAACCCTGAATCTCGTTCCCTTCCCAGGATTGGTGCCCGTTGGATGTTTCCTGCTCGTTGAATACCGCAACGTTCGTCTATGATACCAATGCCGAGTCCACCGCGCTCTGGGTGGGACACAAGGCATGGAAAATCATCCACATAACGCATGCTAACCTGCTATCTAGGACCCGATCATACCGCCAGCAGTTCGACAAATGGGGTCTGGCCAAGTACAACTGCAAGAAGCGGACGGCGCGTCGTCGGAGCCAGGATACTAGCGGCCACCAACTCCACCACCAGAGCACTGGAAAAGACTATTTCGCTGAGGAAGTCAGCGGAGGAGGAGGAGGGGGCATTGATTTCACCATCGCGGATCTGCATGCTTACGACCAGCCCATGAGTCCTCGGAGCTGTGGCAGCAGCCTGAGCTCCGAGTCGGCAGTGGATGGCGGCTTCGTGGATGAAATAATTGACGTTACTGGCACGACCACAGGCTCACAAGCTCCTGATGCGTCGTATGCAAGAGACTGGCCGCCGCAGCTGCCGTACAGCGGAGGAGCCCGACGGCAGCAGCAGAACATCTCCTACCCCCAGTACACCCAGCAGCAGCAGATACAACAGGACCAACAGCACACACAACAACCGCAGCATCAGCGTCGGTGCCGATCATCGTGGAACCAGCAAGAGATGGCGCAGAGCCCCCATGGCACGCTGCCCAGCCCGCCCGCGGACCTCCGCGACGACTCTTCGTACTATCTATTGTTCGCCAACGAGGCGAGCGCGTCTCACCGGCCCGTCCGCCCTCAGACGTATCCCGTCCTCCATCCCAGCCCCCGTCATCCGGAGAGCTACTTGCATCAACAGCCCCCATCCCAGTACCAGTCCCGCCAACGCCAGCAGCAACAGCAGCTGCTGCAGCAACTGCCTCGGTCGCAGATGTACTCGTCGGCGCCGCTGATGAGCGCGCTTCGGGATAGCGCGCCGTACCACGTCGGCGTCGAGTGTGCTACTGTTCGCCAGCCGGCGCAGCAGTAGATGACGAGGAAGGTCTTGATTGACGGTGTCGGTTTCTTTCGGCTTTCTTGATTGAAGTACCCTTTTTTCCAGTCTGCCATTGTAATCTTGATCAGAGATTAAAAGTAATGAAGAAAAATTGCAGTGGTTTGTTTGGATATCACGACTGTACATTCTCTTTCTTTTCTCTACTTTTGTAACTCACATAGGGTGGTTTTGAGTTTTTGGCCGGAAAGGGTTGAACACGTATTTTTGATGAAACACAGCACACAAAAACTTGACGAGGCCCCTTCTTCCCCGCCCCTTTTCTTTCTGTTGGGTATTCTTACTTAGCAGATTCTCGGTAGCTGAATGTCGGCTTGATGCCAAGGTATTTCGCTCGTTGATATGACTTTATATGGGAGAAAATCTGAGCCTTTCCCTCACCCAGATCCCAATACGACCTGTTCTGTTCCCGATAAACTGAAAGACCGAAAAAGGTTTTTTTATATTCTTTTTTCGTGCCGCTCTTTCAGACCCCTCACATGAAGTCATCGTCAGTGAAAGGCTCACTGCTGGCGTTGGACCGGATGTTCATCTTCGCCGCGCCTTCGGCCAGACCGTACGGGTCGTGAATATGCTGCCGCCCGCCGCCGCCGCCCTCCTGACCCTCCCCGTCGCCGGCGGGGGCCGAGTTGGAGCGCACCTGCACCTTGACCTCGCCCTGGATGCCGTCAACGCGGATCGTGGAGACGGTGGTGCCACCGGGCGGCGGGCGCAGGTTCTGCGGGGCGCCGAGATTAACGAGCTCGCGGAAGAAGTTGTTGGCGGCCTCGCAGCCGTCGAGGAGCCACTTGAGGCAGATTGTGACACGCTCCTTAGCGAAGGGGTTGTGGTCGTCGTAGGCGCAGCAGTTGAGAAGCGGGACAATACCGTTGTGGTTCACCATCTGCGTCTGTACGTCCGGGTTGCCGGGCGTGGACTGTCCGGGGGGTGGTTGAAGGAGGGTGGCGAGTATGGTAAAGATTTGGCCCTTGATACCGGACCACGGGTACTTGTGGGCGGGGTCGGATAGGGACGGAGGCGGAGGAGAGGGTGGAAGGGACTCGCTGGTGGAGTAGGGGCGTTCGACGATCGGGGTCGTCTGGGAGGACTGGGATTGTTGGTCCGAGGGGGGCGCCGAGGGGCGATTGCGGCTGGGAATGGTGTCGACAAGAGGCTTCTTTGGGACGCCGGCCTCGAGACCGTTGAGGAGGGTGATGAGGTCGTAGACAGCCTCCCATTCGATAAGCTTCTTCCTCGACTCGGCGATCTCCGAGGCGGTGGTGAGGAAGTCGAGGTATTGCGCAAGGCCGTCCTTGGCACGCTCCATGTCCCAGGTATCGACAGGGAACTCGGCCGGGTCGACGTTGTCCTCGCGGATCTGGGCCTGGAGGTGCATTAGGGCGACGCACTCTGGGACGATGCGGCTGCGGAAGAAGCTGAAGAAGAACATGACGAGCTTGACATCGCGCTCCTGATCCTTCTTGTCCTGGGGCGGATTGCTGATGCGGCTGCGGAAGATGTGGTTGACGAGGCGGAGGAGAACGGTCTGCGCCGGCGAGATAATGTCTTTGGGGATTCGGAGGGAGTTCCAGGCGTAGGGTACCAATGCGGAATGGTGGAGGGCCTCGATGAGCTGGGAGGTGATCTGGAAGATGAGAGACTGCTCATCCTTTTCCCAGACGGCGATGAAGACAAGCATCTCGCGCAACAGGGACTTGCCGCAGTCGAGGGCAAGGAACATGCGGCAGCGCGTCTTTTGGAGGTTCTCGCCCGCACGGGTGAGCCCGGTGCCGGCCGAATCGAGGATGCACGACTTGACGATCATGTGGAGAGCCTCGATTTGCTTCGGGTCTAGGATGTTGGGGATCTCGGTCAGGAGACCAGTCAGGGGGCCCTCGCCGTAGGATTCGTCGTCATCAATGTCGTCGTCATCCATCATGTCGTCATAGCCCTCGGCGTACTCCTCCTCTACCGACGCGCCCGTCCCGCCCACCGAGCCCCCGTCGTCGGGACCTAGGTCCTGCTCCGACTCCTCGATCTCGACGACTTCGTGATGGTCCTCAGTGCGCATGACGGGCGTGTAGCGGTTGAGGAGGTTGTTCTTGCAGTGCTCCGTCCGCGTTTTGGCGAAGTCAACGGACGGCATCGGTACCACCCATCCCTCGTAGTTTGCATCGCGCGCGCGCATCCACCACGTGTCGATCTCTCGCGATACCCGGCAGTAGGCACGGTCCTGCTCAAACTTGTCCTGAATCTCGGGGTCCCACCTAGGGTTCACCTTTTCGCCCTCCTTGTAGTTGTCGGCGCGGACCTTGACCTGGCCCTCGGGGAACCAGTTCCAGGCCAGCGGTGCGATGGGCGCAAGGACGCCTGGCGGCTTATGAGACTTATTCTGGGAATATTCCGTAAGGAGCTTCCGTGCAGTGTCGCACATCCTCGAGTTGCGCTCCAGCCAGTGCTGGATTTCCGTCTTCGCGATGTCGACGCGGAACCCGGAGCCGTCGCCCATGCCTTCTTGGGGGTCGTCGAGCTGAGCGTCTTCATCGAACAGCACGTCGTACCAAAACGACATCTTGTTGCGATCATTCTTGGCCGTCCAGTTGTGTGCCTGCTGGAGGGATGTGACGAGGAGCTTTTTGTCTTTTGAAGAGTGAGCGAACTGTCTTGCCATGGTGGATGAGCAAGGACTTACACATATCGGTGATCTCATTCAGCTTCGCCCGTGACGTCTCATCCAATATTTCGCCATCATATCCCTTGCTGGTAACATTCACACATAGGATTATGGTTTGATAGACCATCTGGTCAAAGTGAACGGCGGCACAGATATCTTGAGGCACCTCCGGTTCCGAAGTCACCAGCAAATTCCTGGCAATGTGCATGAGCTTGTTCAGAATGGAAAGGTCATCCTTGAGGCTGTGATGGTTCTTCACGATAAGAGCAGTGCTCTCCTGGGGGGTAACCCCTTTCTCAGGGTCATTTAGGCTTGATAGGGGGCCTACTGAGCGCGTAGTGAGGCTGGGGATTGCGGCGCCAAAGATTTTTGTCAACCAGATCCATATCTCGACGTTTCTTGAGAGAGTTTCCCTGATTCTTGTTAGGCAAATGAGAAAGTACGAAACTATGATGCGCGGCGAGGGGGCATACCTGACGTGCTTGAAGGTGTGAGTTTTTTCGAGGGTTTTCGCGATCATGGATGAGACCCTCGCGGCGGTCTGGGGTCCCATGGGTGGGATGGTGTAGTGACCCTCGAGACAGATGAGGGCGGCTGAGAAGCAGCGCTCCTCGATGGTCTCATATCCGGGCGTGCCATCCTCCAGGTCCAGGTCTGGCAGTGATGGCGGCGGTGTGTCGGCCGTCATGGTGGGGGTTTCTTAGATGACGGCCGTGGGATTCGACGGTGGTGCCCAAGGCACGCGTGTGAGTGAACGAGTTCACGACCGGTGGATGGTACAGAGACGGTTGCACTTTGGATCAGAATATCTTGGAAATGCAATTTCGGTTCGGGCAAAGTTCAAAGTTATTGCAGAGAAGAGAAGGAGAGACTGGGATTGTTGTGCTGCTAGGAATATTCTCTTGAAGAATCCAAGGTGGCGGCGGCACCAGGATGTCGTATGGTCAGCAAGGAAAATTTCCGCCCGTCCGCAGCCCCGAAGTATCTCTGCACCACAAATTGGTCAGCAGATACACACAGACCAACTGCCCATTTGAGACTTGCGCAGTTGGGCCTTGGTTGAATATTCATGGTATCCTTCAAGGTCGTCAACGCTTGATATAGGTGGAACCTAACAAATCAAAGGTTTATGGGAGTTAGAAGGTTTTTGAAAGCTTAATTTTCTCTCATCTCCTTGCTATGCCGTGTGGGAAAAAAAAAGTGCAGCTAAACATGTCAGGATACAACTGCTCCTCCGTTGAGAGCCCTGCGGAATTCTGGTGCTAATCCCACCCCCCACAAGACCCCCCTAAACTCGACCAATGGTTCAGGGATTGTGCACTGTAGACCCCTCTATCGGTTTTGTCCATCTTTGCGCCCCGACGACGTCCCCTCGGCGGGGTAGTCTTTCCAACGCGGATTTGGTGACGAGTCACGGTTTGACTCACTCTGACAGAAACCTCCCCCACGACCGCCAGATCTCGACCGACCCCGTCGCCGCGACCCTTCCGGTACTCCGCTTCCCCGAGCATACGCGCACTGCTCCGATTTCGACTTTCGTGACCCAGAAAACCAATATCAATATGGCGGAAGGTACCAAGGCCCAGGAGAGGTTCGCCCTCATCCAGGAGAACCTGGCCGAGATCATGAACCCCGAGATCATCGAGAAGATCCTGGCTGAGGGACGCAACCCAAAGATTTACTGGGGTAAGTGTCATCCCAATCCGAATCCAAATGCCTCCCGTTGGCGCATTGGCTAACCTATGCGTCTTTCTGCGCTCCAGGAACCGCGACAACGGGTAGACCGCACTGCGGCTACTTCGTGCCCGCCATCAAACTGGCCCAGTTCCTCGCCGCCGGCTGCGAGCTGACCGTTCTTCTTGCCGACATCCACGGCTTCCTCGACAATCTTAAGGCCCCGATCGAACTCGTCGAGCAGCGTGCAAAATTTTACAAGTTCGCCATCACGAACATCCTCAACGCCGTTGGCGTCTCCACCGAGAAGCTCAAGTTCGTCCTGGGCAGCTCTTACCAGAAGAGTCCTGAGTACATTATGGATGTCTACAAAATGAGCTCGCTCATCAGTGAAAGGGACGCGAAGAAGGCCGGTGCGGAGGTCGTGAAGCAGTCTGACGTAAGAAATCTGGTAAATTTGGTACGTGGACGAAGCTGACCATTTGACAGAACGCCCCCATGAGTGGTCTACTCTACCCTGTGCTCCAGGTTTGTGATGAGGAACACTTGGGTGTTGATGCTCAGTTTGGAGGTGTGTATCGGCGGTTAGAACTTGGACTCGCTCTTATGCTGACTATTTCCAGGCATGGACCAGAGAAAGCTGTTCGCG